ACTGCCATCCTGGGCCACAGCAGAGAGCTGAACTGGAAAAGGAGCAAGCGGGACAGAATCTGGCGCCCCGACCGGGACTAGAACCTGGTGTGCCAGCACCGCAGGTGGAGGACTAGCCTATTGAGCCGCAGCGCCGGCCTGCTTTTCTTAATTTTCTACATGAGAGTTTTCAATATGCTTCATCAGAAAAAAAATTTTTTTTTCTTGTGCACTTTTATTTCCGGCTTGTCTTCTCAGCTGCCAGTACTATTGTAAAAAACCTCTTTTTTTTTTTTTTTACTGTCCAGTGAGAGAGAGAGAGACAGAGAGAAAGGTCTTCCTTTAAAAACTGTAGCGTTAGTGAGATATACTTTTTAGATTATGCAACTCACCCATTTAAAGTATACTATGGTATAAAGCATATTCTAAGAGTTTTTCTTTTTTAAAAAAAAAAGCATTTATTTATTTATTTGAAAGTCAGAGTTAACACAAAGAGAGAAGGAGAGGCAGAGAGAGAGACATCTTCCATCCACTGGTTCACTTCGCAGTTGGCCACAACAGCCGGAGCTGTGCTGATCCAAAGCCAGGAGCCAGGAGCTTCCTCTGGGTTTCCCACATGAGTGGAGGGGCCCAAGGACTTGGACCATCTTCTACTGCTTTCCAGACCATAGCAGAGAGCTGGATTGGAAGTAGAGCAGCTGGGTCTTGAACTGCGGCCCATATGGGATGCCGGCGCTGCAGGCAGTCGCCTAAACTGCTACGCCACAGCACCGGCCCCCAGTTTTTCAACCATCACCACGATTTACAAATATTATCAACCCATAAATAAATATAGTACATATTAGCAGTCACTACTCATTCACCCCATACTCCACTTCTTTAACTTTTGTCAAAAACTAATCTACTCTTTATAGATTTGCCTATTGTGAACAGTTAATATATGTGGAAAAAGAGAATATGTGGTTTTTTTGACTGACTTCCTTCATTTAGCATACTATTTTCAAGTGTCATCTGTGTTGTATCATATATCAGTAATTCATTTCACTTTGTTGCCAATTTTAATCCATTGTGTGGATATACCATATTTCGTTTATCTACTCAGCAGTGAATGAACATTTAGTTGTTCCCAGTTTCTTGCTCTTATGAATAATGTTGCTATAAACATTCATGTACAAATTCTTGTGTGACATATGCTTTCATTTCTTTTGAGTGTGTACATAGGAGTGAATTTTCTGGTTCATATGATAACTCTGCATTTCACCTTTTAAAAAAAGATTTAATTATTTGAAAGAGCTATAGACTGAGTAGAGACAGGGAGAGAGAGAGCTGCCAGACTGTTCTCCACAGTAGCTGTATCATCTTACATTCCCACCAGCAGTGTATAAGGGCTCTGATTTGTTTGTTTACATCCTCACGAACACTTAAAATTCTCAGATGTGTGAAATGGCATTTCATTGTGTCTTCACCTTGTATTTTCTGGATGGAGAATCATATCAAGAATTTTTCAGGTGTTTAATGTCTATCTGTTCACATTCTTTGCACATTTTTAATTGGATCATTTTTGCATTATGATCTATAACTGTTCTTTATATATTCAAGCTACAATTCCCTAATAAGATGTGATTTGCAAATATTTTTTCCCATTTTGTGAGTTGCCTTTTCCCTTTCTTGGTGGTGTCCTTTCAAATGCAAAATGTTTGTCTTTTAATAATTAAAATTCAAATTTTGTTTTTTTTATTTTGATGCTATATATATTTAAGAAAACATAATCACTAAGACTGACTCATGTTTTCTTAATGGAGTTTTTTTTTTTTTAAATCTTTTTTTTTATTTATTTATTTGACAGAGAGAAGGTGAGAGAGAGAGAGACAAGTCTTCCCTCTTGGTTCACTCCCCAAATGGCCGCTACGGACTGTGCAGCACTGATCCGAAGCCAGGAGCCAGGCTGTTCCTCCTGGTCTCCCACACAGGTGCAGGGGCCCAAGTACTTGGGCCATCTTCCACTGCCCTCCTGGGCCACAGCAGAGAGCTGGATTGGAAGAGAAGCAACCGGGACTAGAACCCAGTGCCCATATGGGATGATGGCGCCACAGGCAGAGGATTAGCCAAGTGAGCCACAGCGCTGGCCACCTTATTGGAGTTTAATAGCTTCTGCTCTTTGGGTAATCATGATCCATTTTGAGTTTTATTTTATTTTACTTTTTTTTTTTTGTATGTTCTGTGAGGTGTAGGTACAACTTCACTTTTCGCCTGTGGATGTTCAGTTGTCCCAAAACAATTTTTTGAAAAGACAGTTCCCCATTGGATTATCATAGCACCCTTGTCAAAATTCAGTTTACTATACAAGTAAGTGTTCATTTCTGGAATGTTCAATTCTATTCTACTGATACCAGTATCACACTGTCTTGTTTACTGCAGCTTTGTTGTAAGATTTTAAATTGGGAAGTATAAGTCCTTCATATTTATTCTTTTTGAAAATTGTTTTGACTATTCTAGGTCCCATAAACGTCTATATGAATGTTAGGATCAGTTTGCCACTTTCAGCAAAATAGCTGCCAGAGGTTTTGATTACTATTGCATTTAAATAGGTAGATCCATTTAGGGAGCATTGCAATCTTAACAGTGTTAAGTCTTCCAATGCAAACACTTGAGCTGTCTTTCTATTTATTTAGGTCTTTATTTAAATAGTGCAATTCTTTTAGAGTGTAAGTTTGGACTTTCTTTGTTAAAATTATTTCTAATTATTTTCTTTTTCCAGCTTAATTTTTAATTGAAAAATAAAAATTGTCTATATCTTGGCCATTGTTTTGGTACAGCCAGATAACAGCTGCTGCCTGCAACACTTGCATGCCCTGTGAGTGCCTTTTCAAGTTCCTGCTGCTCCACTTCAGAGCCAGATCCCTGCTAATGTTTGGAGAGTGAATCAGTGCATGGAATATCTCCTCTGTCTTTCCCCTCTCTCTCTAACTCTGCCTTTCAAATAAATAAAAAAATAATTTTTCAAAAAATTGTCTATTTTCAGGGTATACAACACAATGATTTGTTATATGGACACACTTGAAAAGATAACCACAACCAAGTTACCATGTGTCTCTGTGTGTGTGTGTGTGTGTGTGTGTGTGTTGAAAACACTTAATGCCTTAAACACTTAAGATGTACTCTTTTAACAAATTTCAAATATAGAGTATAATTAACTCTAGTCACTATACTGAATGTTAGATCCCCAGAACTTCATCTTATCATTGAACATATGTATCCCTTCACCAACATCTCTCCATTCCTCCACCACCATCTCCTCCAGCTCCTGCAACCATCACTCAGTTTTCTACTTCTATTCATTCAACTATTTTTTTTAAATCCCACATACAAGTGAGATGGTATACTACATGTTTGTCTGTGTCTGGCTTATTTCACCTAACAGTGTTCCCTAAATTTATTCATGATACTACACATGGCAGGGTTTCCTTTAGTAAACTGAAATAATATTCCATTATGTAATACTACAGTTTCTTCATTGTGTATTATTTGTAGCTTTTTCAGATTAGTTGACTGCATGCGTTTGTTTCTGGACCCTCTATTCTGTTTGATTGGTTTGTATGTCAGCCTTTATGCCAGTAACATTTTAATCAAACACTATTATTGTTTTGTATCAGTAGCATACTATTTTGATTATAGCTTTATGATATGAGAACACTATGAAATTCATTGAATAGGGAATTAAAACAAGCTTATTTTGTTGGAAAAACTTTTCTAAATCCATACATACAAGGAATCTTCAAAAAGTTTTAGAAAATATGTATTCTGAAAAAACCATTTCACTTTTTATTCTGTTTCCATGACCTTTTGAAGTACCCTCTTACAGTTTGAAATAAGAAGTGTGATGCCTCCATCTTTGTTATTTTTACACAAGGTTGTATTGTCTATTCAGTATTTTTTGTAGGGTAATTGTTTTCTACTCTGTGAAAAACTCCATTAGATTTTTGAAAGGGATTACATAAAATCTGTAGATTGCCTTAAATAGAATAGATGTTTTAACAATATTTATTCTTCTAATACATGAGTGCATGATATCTTTTCATTTCTTTCTGTTTTCTTCATTTTCTCTCTTAAATATTCTATAGTTTTCAGTATACAGATTAATGATCAGATGAATGGCAATGTCACAGGAGTGGGTTAGTTATCACTGGAGTGGATTCCTGATGAAGGGATGAATTTCACCTTTCCCTTCTCTCTTATGTGTGCATGTTCAATAGACATTCTGCTTCCTGCTATGGTATGACACAGAGGTCCTCACCAGATGCACGCCATTTAACCTTGGATTGTTCAGCCTCCAGAACTACACAAATAAATCTCTGTTTTTTATCAATTACCCAGTCTCATGTATTCTGTTATAGCACTACAGAACATACGAAGGTAATTGGCATTAAGAAGTGGATCTGTTGCTATAACAAATACCTTAAAATGTTGAAGCAACTTTAAAACTGGTTGGTGGGTAGAAGCTGGAAGAATTTCAGGGGTCAGACTAGAAGAAACCTAGATTGCCATGAATGGACCATCCAGGACAATTTGCTAAAGAGATTAATATGGATAGAAGGAAGCTATGTTCTGTTCATTAAGACAATGACAATGCTTATAGAGTCATGGGAATGGGGCAACCCCTGAGACTTACAGAACTGTGGGACCACTAGTATGCCAGTCCAGCTGGGAAAACTGTAGGCATGTGACTACAATCCATGAGAGCTGCTTTGTGGACTGAGGCCACAAAATCCAGAGTAAGGGATTTCTGAAGCCTTGGGTGCTCAACTCATGCTCCAGTGTGCCCAGAATGCCGGACATGGGATCAAAGGAGATTATTCTCCAGCTTTAAGGCCTGATCTTGTTTTCCCTGTTAGATTCTGAACTTACTTGGGACCATTTACCCCTTTTTCCTGCCTATTTCTCCCTTTTGGAATGGGAATGTCTATCCTATGTCTACCCCATCGTTGTTTTTTGGAAATACATCACTTTTTTTCATTTTACAGGCTCACATCACTCAACTCTAGAGAGGACCCTCTCGACTATGTGACATCATGGCACATTGCAATGGCCACTGAGTGTGTGGGAAGAAGTAATCACGTCTCAATATGGAAAACCAGAGAGATGTGGGTGAGTCTAAGCTCTGGCTTTTATAACAATCTTCTGAGAACTAACCAGGGTACCACAATAAGTACCTTAATCCCTTTTGAGAGCATGCTCCCAGTTAACCTAGGACTTCCCACTAGGCCACCATCTCTTAAAGATTCCATGCCATAGCACCTCCTACTAAGCCACACTTGGAATCAAGCCTCTGATATGTGAACCTTTGTGGGACATACACACTATATCCAGACCCCAGTATTGAAAAAAGCCCTTGTGATTCACAAGAGCTGACAGTCACATAGGAGCTGCTGCCAGCCTCAAAAGAGTAATTTTGCTTCTGATTGAAGTGCCTGTTGCCAAACAGTTTCTCATAGTTTGTATCCAGCATCCAGTAATTGTTTCTCTGTGGTTCGTTACTGTTGCCAAACATAAAACATTCCATTTCCTGGCAGATGGAGTTCAGCTCTCCTGCTTTGCAGTGTTGGTAGACAGGGAAGCTTCTGGCAACTAATTGGCAGCAGTGCAAGCTTATACTTTGGGCACTGTTTGAATGTCTGTGGCAATGAACGCCAAGTATGAATGAGGTGTTGGCAAGGTCTTTTTGTGGTCCTTGCTTCTGGCCCTGGGCTGCAAGCTTGATGGAACCATCTGCACAAAACCCTGCCCTAGAAGCAGCAGCCACATGGAGTATTCTCAGCAGGAAGGAGGGAGTCGAATGAAGCAGCACCATGCTCTTGGAACCATAGTTAGGAGCTGGTGGTGTTGGGCAGCGAGGTGTTGTCCACTAACTAGTTTGGGGCAGCAGGACACATCATGGTTGTTGCCACAGTGGAGGGACACATAGGTAGCTGTTAGTGGGAACAGCAAGGCCATGGCAATGGCCAAGACAGGCTTGGGGGAGTGAGTGGGGCAGGCCTGCAGTTAGCTCAAGAGCATCCTTTTCTTTTGGGGGCCCACCTTGCAATACCACTTCTTTTTTTTTTTTTTGACAGGCAGAGTGGACAGTGAGAGAGAGATAGAGAGAAAGGTCTTCCTTTGCTGTTGGTTCACCCTCCAATGGCCACCGCGGCCAGCACACTGCGGCCTGCGTACCACGCTGATCCTATGGCAGGAGCCAGGTACTTATCCTGGTCTCCCATGGGGTGCAGGGCCCAAGGACTTGGGCCATCCTCCACTGCACTCCCTGGCCACAGAAGAAAACTACCTGTGGTGCTATTCCTCTGGGGTCACTGATAGAAGCCTGGCGCTCTCCAAGCACCCACAATGATCCACCTGGCCCCAGCCAGGCATTTCTTTTTAATGCCAGTTTATAGAATTAAATGTCATTTGTGTTCTGTAGCAACATAAACATATCAAAAGTATGTATCCATACTTATTGGAAACAATAAGTTGAAATGACCAAAACTTACTACATGTGCTTTGGGCTACTCAGGTTTGAGAAGCTGATAAACTTTTTTTTTTGTATTTTGCTATTTTAGTGATACATAAGTTGACCTCCGTCTCGATCAATATGGTTTATTTATGCTGAAGAATCTAATGGTAGGAAAGACATGAAGTACTGAAACAAACAAATGAATGAATAAAATTGAAAAGGAAGAAAGTGATCAGAAGAGTGTATGCTGCTTATCACTGTATTTTGGGATACTCACTTGCACCTCCTTGTGGCTCAAAATAGCATATAATTTAGTTCAAAGTTCTGTACTTGGGGCCGATGTTGTGATATAGTGGGTTATGCTGCCACCTGCAATGCCGAAATCCCATATGTGTGCCAGATCATGTCACAGCCGCTCCACTTCTGATCCATCTCCCTGCTAATGGCCTGGGGAAAGCAACTGAAGATGGCCCAAGTACTTGGGCCCCTGCCACTCACATGGGCAACCTGGAGGAAACCCCTGCCTTGTGCCTCCTGGCTCATGGCTTTGGCCTGGGCCAGCCCTGGCCATTACAGCCATCTGCGGAGTGAACCTACAGATGGAAGATCTCTCTGTGTGTCTCTCCCTCTCTCTCTGTAACTCTACTTTCAAAAAATAAATAAATCTTTTTTTAAAAAGTTTTGTACTTGTGCAGTATCATGAAAGACATGATTACTTAAATATCAGACCTTCTACTCACAAACAAGTTAAATATGAAAAAAAAAAGACACTGAATCAGATTTTATATTCCCATAAGAAATGCCTAGGTGTGGAAGATGGAGGAGTAGGGAGGGAGCTTGCTGCTCTAGTCTAGGAGAAGATAGTTTTTAAAAAGTAGAGAGTGCAGTCTCAGGGAAGAGTTAGAAAGAAAACAGTAGAGGAAGCTCCACACAACTTGGAGGGACACCTTGGACCTACATGGAGGCTAAGACACGCTAAACTCTGGATGGTTGTTTACAGCCCTTATCTCTACTATTGAGGAACAGTGGTTGTTTTTTTTTTTTCTTCTACTTGTTGAACTCTTTAATTAGAGTAGAGTTAATCTTATGAGTATAAAGTAAACTGAAAGTAGATCTTTGTAAAAAATTAAGAGAGTTAATAAGAGAGGGAGGAGGAGGGAGGGTGGGAGCATGGGCAGGAGCAGGGGTAGGGTAGGAAGTATCACTATGTTCCTAAATCTGTATATATGAAATGCATGTAATTCGTTTACCTTAAATAAAAGAAGAGGAATTACCGCCCATAATATCAGCCATTTTCCCCCATTCTGAATCGTCTTATCATATTTTAACTAATCACCTTAATATTTCTTTTCTTTTTTTTAAGTTATCATTTTATTCATTTTACCTTAATATTTCTTTTCAATTTTTTTGGTTTTTTTTATCTGAATAGTGCTGAATGAGGCAGTCCTGTATCTTCAGTTCAGTTTTTGTTACCATCCTGCCTCTATGACTTTTGAAAGTTCAAATAGGTTACTGAAGCAATACTTTCTGTTTTGAAAAAGGTTACATTGCCTGCCCCATCCCACTAAAAAAAGATTATTACTCTTTCATGTAAAGGACTGGCTGCAGTTTTCCTAGTCAATACTAGGAATAGCAAAGGTTGGTGAAGTTTGATGGTCTTAGTAGCCAAAACATTATAGAGCCCTTAACATGTATTTTTATTTCTATAAACTATTACTTGTATGTCAACACTGTCCCAGTGCCTCTGTCATCCTGTCTTTGATTTACCCATGTAAATAGGCTAAACAAATTCAAGAAGAAATCTGAGCAGGAAACACTGGATTGTGGCCAGTAGCATGGTGAACTACAATTTAACAGTATCGAAATATGTTTAAAAGCAAGAAAAAAAAGATCTTTATCCCAAGCTAAAAATACGTTTCTATTTTTAAATACATTCTTAGGTTCTTTATCGCCAAAGCAAAATAAGTGTATGTGTAAGAATGTGGAAAGCATACAAAACCTTTGATTTTATTTTCTATGGATAATATTTGTTAACCCAGCATTACTTACAAACTTTGAATCAGAAATCCCCACGCACCACCTCCTCCCAATTCAGCCTGATTGTCCTGCCCAGATCTTGATTTCCTCACAGAAATAGGAAAAAGAGTTAGAGAAGATCCTAGCAGATCCCGAGGAAGAAAACAAGTGAGCTAGCTTTCTATTTTTGTCATTGGTAAACCAAGTGCATGCGTTTGCACATACAGAAAATTGTCAAGCATCTTCACTTAGAGTCCTTTTTAAATGTTTTATTTTTAATTGACAGATAATAACTGAGAGCCTTTATATGTCTTATTGCTTTTAAAGTTTACATATATTTACAGGTTCTTTTTTTATTCCAAAAGGAGAAAATAAATTCAGTAGTATAATTGTTTATAGTTATGTGTGAAAATAATCAGTGTTGATGGTGGTATCTGATTTGTTATGTGTGCTTCAGAATTTTAGATGTTAGTTATGAGAATAAAATTTTAAAAAGCATGTCATTTAATTTTTTTAAAAGATTTATTTATTTATTTATTTGAAAAGCAGAGTTACAGAGAGACAGCAAGATCTTCCATCTTCTGGTTCACTCCCCAAATGACAACAACAGCCAGGTCAAAGCCAAAAACCTGGAACTCCATCCAGGCCTCCCATACGGGTAGCAGGGGCCCAAGTATCTTGGACAGTCTTCTCCTGCCTTTCCAAGTGCATTAAAAGGGAGCTTGGATCAGAAGCGTAGTAGCCAGGACTCGAACCAGGACTCCGAAATGGGATGCCAGTGTCACAGGTGGCAGTGTAACACGCTGCACCATAAGCCAGCCCCTTGAGCAAAATTTCAGAGAGGGGCGGGGTAGAACTGTTTGATTTGGTGGTTCAAAGGACCCGGGAAGGGAAGGACTGATTTCCAGGGGGAATCTATGGTGGTCCTTTCTCAATACCGCGTAGCTGGAAGATGATGACTAGGGTGTGGGAGAGGTTGGATTGAGGTCCCGATGACAGCCCCCTGACACTGTGAGAAATACAACTTTGAAGCTGGTAAGAGAGGAGTGGCCCAGAGATATTAAGTCGGTGAATCACCAGCTCATAAGTGGTAACTGAAACTCTAGGAGTGAAGACAGGGGTGAGCATTGAACCTGTAGTTAGCATGCTGCATTATGCACTGAAATTTTCGTTAAAAGGATAGATCTCACACTAAGTATTATTCGTGCAATAAATAAAAATTCTTAAAAAGAGGAAAAAAAAAAAACGAGAAGTGACAGGGTGCATAGCCCAAAAAGAAGTGAGGAAGGGAGGAGACATTATTGCTTCCAGGAAATTAAATTACTAAAAGAAAAAAGAGAAAACTTAAAGTTGTTGTTTTTGTTTGTTTCCAACAGGGAAGGGAAGGAAATAAAGCAACAGGGTGGAAAGGAGAAAGAACACAGGGCTTTCAGAAAACATGGAGTGGCACCCCAGAGACACACTTTCCTTAGTTGTTTACTCTGACTGACTTCCAGGGAACCGTTGGGAAGTCTAAAAAAAAAAAAAAAAAAACAGAGACATCGCAGCCGCACGCCTTGGAATCATGGATCTGTTCTCCTCAATAGGTTCCCGCGTGACTCTCCCCATGCTGAGCCTGCACACACACGGTGTGGGAGAA